GTCATAGGTTTTTTAAATGTTTCCTGTGTTTTAAACTGTTCCCCTTCCCTCTGTGCCCCTGTGTGACTCGCATTGTTTCCTGGCCCTGGTGCTTTCCCGCCTTCCCTTGGCAGGTGTTTTCCTGACTCTGCTTGTGGAGTCGTGCTGTGAGATAGATGGTCAACAAGTTCCGAGTCTCCCACAGAGCATTCAGACAAATACTTCCCACCTTCACTCTCTGCCTGTCATTCTACTTAGGAAGAAGCTGCTAGACCAGGGTGGACAAACGTTTTCTGTAAAGGGCCAGATAGTAAACATATTAGGCTTTGCGGGTGTGGGTGAAAAATGTCACCTGCCGTATCAGTAAACAAAAGATGTTGGGGCCATCAAGCCATTGGCCACTGCAGCCTCCACCCACTGTGCACCCTGAGGGGACTCAGGATGGAGAAAAGCAAGATAGTGTCCCTAGACAGCTGCGGTGCACATCGAGGGAATGATTTCAATGAGCCCAGACTTTTACATCTTCCCATACATAGAAAAGCGCTCAATTCATTAACTTGAGATGTCTGGTTTCCTTTAATTAATAGTAATCTCTTAATGTTCCGACTACCTGGTCTTTGTTGCAAAAACTCCTATATATCCTGGCTTCTCCCTTACCTCTTCAGAGCAGTCCCTCAGAGCTATCTGAGAGGCTGCCTCCCGGGCTTAAGTCTTCAGCCAGTCCACCGAATAAAACACAATTCTCAACTTCTGTGCATTTTTTTTTCAGTTGACACGGGCCATAGGGTCGATGGTGCAGCTTCTCCACTCTGTTGTCTTAGTGCAAAAGCAGCCATAGGCAGTACTCAGATGAATGGGCACAGCTGGGTTCCAGTAAAATTGTATCCAGAAGAACAGGCAGTGGGCCAGATTTAGCCCGTGGGCTATAGTTTGCTGACCCCTGTCCTAGACAGTCAAACTCTCCTCCCAGCCTCGGCTTGATCTATGACTGACCTGCCTGACTCGTGTCCCATGTTGTCTCAGGCTTGTTCTCTGTGACCGAGACCTGTGTCATCCACATGCCGTGTACAATACCTGTGTCAACTTGATGGTCATTTATCGTTTTGTAACTCACCTGAAGTAATAAATTATTATATGTTGACGTTACTCTTTTGTCTTTCTATAATTTGTTGAGAAAGACAAAATAGAGTAACCACACTAAGAGCAGCATTTTTTGCGGTACGCGGGCCTCTCACTGCTGTGGCCTCTCCCGTTGCGGAGCACAGGCTCCGGACGCGCAGGCCCAGCGGCCACGGCTCACGGGCCCAGCCGCTCCGCGGCATGTGGGATCCTCCCAGACCGGGGCATAAACCCGTGTCCCCTGCATCGGCAGGCGACTCTCAATCACTGTGCCACCAGGGAAGCCCGCAGCATTAGTTATTAAAAAGAGGTAACTGATTGTTCTCATTCCCGGTCAGCGTGCTGGTAAGAACCTTGGGACCAGGAGCAAGGGAAGGTGTCAGGGTAGAGAGAGGGAAAAGCATCTCCATTGCTGTAGTAATGTCTTCCTTAAGCAAATACTTTATGGGGCATTTACTATATGACATGCACTGTCTGAGCACAGGGGATAAATCAGAGAATGGAACAGAACTATTCCCTATTTTCCTGGGAGCTTCCATTAGGGTGAGGAGAAACCAGTGACCCTCTAGAGTGTCCGGTGGTGTTAAGTTTATGGTGAAGAGTAAAGCAGCGTAGAAGGATAACTAAGTACTGTTTTAGACCAAGTGGTTATGGAAGCCCTTTCGCATTAGGAGACCTTGGAGCAAAAACCTGACTGCACCGAGAGGAAGAGCATTCTGGGCAGAGGACAGGGCAGTTGCAAAGACCTGAAGTGGCGCCATGCTTGTCACGTGTTGGAAGAGGTGGGCACCATTGTGGCCCGAGCAGACAGAGCGAGGAGGAGAGTATAGGGGATGAAGTTAAATGTTAGCTCTCTTATATTTCTAATTGCCTCTAAAAAGGAGCTGTTGCTCCAATTATTTCCTGAAATATGAATCCAGGCTCATTGTCATGAAGGACGTCATGCTCTGTACTAAGAGCTCATGACGTCACTAACCCCTTCACGAACTTCTGTGTTGGACATTTTTAGGTGTCCGAAGGCCGTTTGGAAGCGCTGTAATGTGAGCATTACCCTGAGTCAATCTTCCTCACCACCCGTGAGAGGGTCCCCATAAAAAGCTTCCTCTCTATCCCCCCCAAACCCTTTTCCTATTTCCCTAGTTGCCTTTTTTGCCTTTATTCAAGGCAGCTTGTTAGCTCATTATTCTTCTTTTATTTATTATTTATTATTTATTTATTTATTTATTTATTTTTGGCTGTGTTGGCTCTTCGTTGCTGCGCGCGGGTTTTTCTCTAGTTGTGGCTCGCAGGCTCTAGAGTGCACGCTCAGTAGTTGTGGCGCACAGGCTTAGTTGTTCCGCGGCATGTGGACTCTTCCCGGACCAGGGATAGAACCCATGTCCCCTGCACTGGCAGGCGGATTCTTAACCACTATGCCACCAGGAAAGCCCTCCTTGTTCTTCTTGAGGTTTTTTTTTTATTACAACGGTCAAATGCAAAATTTCTCTAAATATGCCAACAGATCACTTGAATCAGAGTCACCTGGGGCACTTGTTAAAAATAAAGATTTCTGGGTCCCTGCCACTGACTTTCTGAATCAGAATCTTAGAGATGGCACCCGGGAATCTGCATTTTAAACAAACTTCTTAGGTACTTGCTACTCAAAGTGGGGTTCTCAGACCAGCAATATTGGTCTCGCCTGGAAACTTGTTAAAAATGCAGAATCTCACGCCCCACCCCGGATCTACTGAATTAAAATCCATATTTAACAAAATCCTCAGGTGAAGCTTTGGTATATTAAAGTTTGAGAAGCATAGGCCTAAATGATGTTTATACACCTGGGAGTGTGAGAACCACTGACCTAACGCCATCAAAAGGTTCTTAGAATAGGGTCTACATTCGGGTTTGGGCCATGGGAAATGGTTGCTTGGCTCACCCAGAGGAATAAGAAAGTTTCACAGCCTGCAGATTCCCTTTCTGCATTTAAGATCACTTCAGTCTACGCGGATTGTCTAATTCTCAATGTATGGAACTGCAAAAGTGCGTTCTCATGCTGAAGCTTGAAACTTTCTTGCTGACCATTGTTTTCCAGGGATGTTTAACACAGCCACCACTAGTGTGATGGAATTTCACACTAGTATCCAATCAACTTCTGTAGGCTGGCCTTTGCTAAATGAGTTACCAGCGACATCCAGATGGCTAATATTTTAAACAAGTCAGTTTTGTTTTCTATGCATTTTATTCATTCATTCAATAAGCATGTCCTGGGTGTGGCCAGTAACTGTTCTAGGGGAAAGAGTGGTGGATACAACAAATAAGGTCCATGCTATCATAGAGCTTCCATTAGAATAGAGAGGAGAGAAAGACAGCCAACAAGCACATGAGTCTGAGAGCAATAAACGCTATGAAGAAAATTAAAAAAAAGAGCAACACGAAGTAATATTAACTGCAGAACTGTTTGTACCCTTCTCAAATGTATTCTACAAGTTTATCAAAAGTTACTGAGTAAAACCAGTTATCAGAACATTAAAAGGCATCTCTGATTCTTATTAATTAGGCACAATTACTGCTATTCCAAATAAATTCAGAAATAGAGGAAGTTATTTAGTATGCTAGAAAAGGGTGCATAACTAATACATATAAGAACCATACAGGGACTTCCCTGGTGGTCCAGTGGTTAAGACTCTGCCCTTCCAGTGCTGGGGAGGTGGGTTTGATCCCTGGTCGGGGAACTAAGATCCCACATGCCCTGGCGTGGCCAAAAAAAAAAAAAAAGAACCATACATATAAGAAGCATCCAGCAATAGAAGATGCTTGGTTGGTTATGAGTATTGTAACAAACTCTGTGGCATCTTATGGCATTTTTGCCATGGGTCTCAGTTTCCCTGGCCTTTGAGTTATTAAGTACACTTGATGCAGGGGATGGAAACTCTTTGCAGGTCCCTGCCTGACCTATATTCCTCTCTGGGAATGGCCCCTCTGGCCACTGTGTGAATTCCATGACAACAATCTATAAGCTGAGCAGTGACTAGTCAGACTTTCTCTTTCAGGAATTTGAGACCCACTCAGGCTGGAGTCAGTCAACGGCAGGTGCGTGGACGTATATGGATGTGGACACCATGTGTGGGCCAAAGCTTGGAGGGCAGGTAACTTGAGTAAGCAGAGACCATAGGTTTAGGAGAATGTCATAAATAGAAGGAAGATGGCAGAAGTAACGGCAACACCAGAGGGCGGCCATTCCCTCCATCCCCATGACGCCCAGTGGGACCACCTACAGTGACCAAGCCCGGCCTAGAGGCAAGTCTAAACCTTATCCGGCATCTATCACATCCAGTTCCACAAATTTTGCCATCTAAGTGGGTCGGGTCCCAGGAGCAGGAACGTGAATCCAAGGCTATACCTGGCTATATCTGGAAGACATTTTTTCACGTCTTGCTTTTTTTCTTTAAAATAAATTGGGGAGGCGTTTTACCCTAGAATATATCTGTGCTTAATAAAAAGTGTTTTCCTACAATACGATGTCACGTATCCCTGTGGATTCTGAATTCCTGACTCACTAACCCTAGTTTGAGAAACAGTTTGTCAGCCTTCCAGTTTTCGTAGGTGGGAAGCATGAAGCCCAGAGACGATAAGGGCCTTTCTTCTTTGCATCTTGCGCTCAGTTTTCTACCCTGAAACGTGCGACGATGTGGTGCTTCCGGGGCTTGCAAGGAATATTTAAGAGACTGTGAATAAAGCGCTTAGCAAAGTGTCAGAAAAGCATACTAAGTGAAGAATAAATGGTTTCCCTCTCGTTATCATTCCCTGTCGCTCCTTCCTTCACCCCTTCCCACGCCGCTTTCTTCCGCCCTTAGCCTCCCTGCCAGGTGGCCCGGCTCATCCTCCGACCGGAAGCCTGGCCGCTGCCCCCGCGTCCGCGCGCACGTCCGGAACCGGGCACTCCCGCCGCGCCCGATCCGCCTCCCGGGCCGCGCCCCGCCACTCCCGGAGCCTGGCACCAGGTAAACGTGCCCGGCCCGGACCCCGCAGCCCTCCCACTCTCCCGCCCGGCCAGCCGATTCCGGGGCGGGGATTGGGGTTCCGCCCCCACGGGAGCAGGCGCCTCAGCGGCCGAGCGTCCAGCATGCGCGCGCCGGCCTCGGGTCCCCTTTCCGGGTCCTCTTCCGGTGAACGCGGCGCCCTCTCTGGGGTAATCGGTAGCGAGACTTTTGAGCTCTGGAACTTTCGCTCAACCCGGATTTCGGCGTGGCTGGATCGGCCTCCCTAACCCCTTTCTTCAGTCTCTAGTTCGGGCGCTGCGACTTGGAGGAACCTGGGAGGGTTGAGGGTTCCCGATGCTTTGCACTTTGGGTAGGATTTCTGCAATTCTCAGAGAGCCCCGACACTGAGAAGTCTGCGGGGTTTTCAGAGGCTGGGAGTGGAGGCTTATCCCTAAGACCTTATCAAAACCGTCTTGGCCCAAGACCAGGCCAGTCGTTGGACTGGTGCCCAGTGACCTTGGAGAGGCCGGCGCCTGCCGTGGGCCTGCCGGGGCCTCCACCCCAGGGGCCGCAGTCCGAGGTCAGCGATCGGCTGCCAGGGGTTCGGCCGCAGAGGTTTAAGTCTTCCCCATGGCCTCACCCCTGCTCAGAAATCTCTTCGCCTCCTGGAGGAACCCTTCTTGAAACGTTTCCTTGTCTTGCGGCGCTCTCTTGTTTCCCTTGCTTTTCATCCAGATTATTGGTCAGAGTTTTTCTGACCTGTCTCCACTCTGGAATAGGGCCCAGCGGAGTCACAGGGGCAAATTATAAAATCAATCGTGCGCCAGAGGTCACTTAGGTCAGTCCCCGTCGGATGCTTGGAGCCCCCATACAGCCCGCATACAGCAGTCCAACCAGAGTGCCTGATTTTTTTCGTCAGCTTCTCCACGTCCTGTGGCAGCGGCTTCTACTTCAGGGCTTCTGTCTCCAGTTTACCTTACACTGAACCCAGTAGTGTATAGTGCATGTAGCTTTGCCGTGTTGGCCTCAGAAGGCTGCCCCTTGGGGCCTTTGGATAGAACAGCGGCGGCGGCCCTTCCTGGTGCAGACAGCCGCCCGTGTGCCTATCAGTCCACTTCTTCCCACTGACCTGTGCAGAGCCCGGCCTCAGGCCCTCTCCGCTGTTCCTGGGCCAGGTGGAGCCGGGAACAGAGACCAGCGCCCCAGGAAAGTGCATTCCACAGATATTTTCTTTTGCGCTTCTCTGTAGCTCTGACTGCCCTCATGCTTGCCACAGCTTCTCTGGCAGCCCAGTTGTCTTCTTGCCTTTAATCTGACCCCGGGAAGTGGCCAGGCACGATCACCCTCCCGTTACTCCAGGGTCTTGGGTAGTATGCATTGGCTTTAACCCTTGCCACAGAGTTACAGAAATTACTCTTTTGCTTGAAGGCACTGCTAGCCCTGTGCCCTCCCACCCTGTTGTGGTTTGTGAGACACTGGGCCTTCTTTGCGTATTCCCTGCGGTTGGCTTTTGGAGTTGCCTGACTTCATTTCTGTGCCGTGCACCCCTATACAAGGTGATATGTCCCAGTTTGCCTGAGACGGTTCTGGTTTATCCCCATTGTCCCAGCGTAATTATTAATAACGTCCACTTTCACTTTCAAAAGATTCATGATTTGGACAATTCAACTTGTCTCTGCCTCTCAAAGTTGGATGCATTCGTGTTCGTAGGCTTGGGAGTGGCACAGGGCAGCCCATGTAGGACTTGCTCTGGGCTCAGATGTGTCAGAGTCACAGTCTAGGGAACCAGAATTCCTCCAGGTCAATGCTAGCTCATTCCCTTGCTCATAGGTGGAAGGCTTCAGGTGGCTTTGTCCCCAGAGGGCAGGGGTTCCCCTCCGGCCCTGGCACAGAAGTAAGTCCAAGCTGGTACTGAGAGCTATGTCTAGTCAAATTCATCCCCAGAGGTGTTGTGGGGATTTATAATCAGAATTCACAGCCGTGATCCAGAGAAAGGTGTTCCGAGCTCAAGCCTAGCGGCTTAACATGGTTCTCGGCTCCTGGGAACCTAACTGATGTGAAGTGTGACCAGAGTTAGGCCTGGGGTGCCCTTGGACCCTATCCCCTTCCATGCTAATCAGAGTTCTGCATCCAGACAGGACCAGTTAGCCGGGCCAGATGATAGAGTAGCATATCAGCACTTCTAACTACTTTAGGATCAGACTGAGAGGTAGGGCACTGGTTTTCACCTGGGATGACTAACCGTACTGGTTTTCCTGGGACTGAGGGGTTTCCTGGGACTTGGGGCTTTCAGTTTTAAAACTAGGGAAGTCCCGGGCAAACTGGGATGGGTTGGCCACCCTATTCTTCATCCTTGCTGCATATTAGACCCACCCAAGGAGCCTCATGTAGAGATTTCAATTTAATTGATCCAGGTAGAGTCCCAAGTAGGGGTATTTTTTTTAAACACTCCCAAGCTGATTGCAACAAACTACCAGAGTGGAGAACCATTAGGTTATAGGCAGCATTGCTAAAAATCCATTGAAGGTGATGATTATTTTTCTAGCAGAAGTAGATACATCTCTCAAAAGGGAGTATAATCAAGTGTGTCATCCTCTCCTTATCGAGAGGGGTATCAAAATGGCACTTGCCTTATTTTTATTCCTTCTCCCCGCCCCAAGGACTTCTTCCTCATCAGTGAGGACCAAGTGTTCTCCTTTCCCAGAATGCTCCAGTACCCCCTCTCCCGTGGCAGTAGGTCAGTAGAATTACCTCATTTTGATTGGAGAGGTCAGGATTTGCACAGTCTCAGGTGAAGCTGGCCTGAGATTTCACAGAGCTCCAGCCTCCCAGTCTGGATGATGGCCCAGGGGCTAGCCGAAGGGGCTGGGTGTACTTCAGCATCGTCCCATGGGGTACTGAGCTTGGAGATCAAGTGTCTCTGGGACTGTTCCCTCTGCAGGCCTCCAGGATCATGTGGTACGTCAGTACTCGAGGGATGGCCCCACGGGTTGACTTTGAAGGGGCCCTTTTCTCTGGCTATGCTCCGGATGGGGGCCTCTACATGCCCGAGAAGCTGCCTCAGCTGGACAGAGACACCCTGCGTCAGTGGAGTGTGGTCTCCTACCCCAGCCTGGTGAAGGAGCTGTGTAGCCTCTTCATTGGCCCCGAGCTCATTCCAAGAGATGACTTAAATGGTGAGCAGACCCTGCCTTTCTACTCTCCCATTTCACTCTTCTGCCAGCCCAGCCCACCATGGAGTTGCAAATCCATCATTTAACCCCTAGGAGGTCCCTAGCCACATTTCTGAAACTTTGGAGTTTTTTCCAGACTCTGGAATCCCAGAATTGGAAATATCCCCAAAGGGTTAATTCATTCCAGCTCCCACCTCCAGTGAGATGAATGCCAAAGTGACCTGTGGAGATTTTTTTTTTTTTTTTGCTTATTTTTAAAAAACCCTTTCAAGGGATTTCGCTATTGTCCTGAGATGCTTGAATGTGGGGTATTTCCTTCCTGTATATAAAACACCCAGACCCTCAGATTGCTGTTTTATCTCCTTTAATGGTAATTCCAGAAGGGACTTTGAGAGTGTTCTGGTCCAGCTCATTTCAGACTGTTATGTGCCTACAGATACTCTGTGGGAATATCTTTAAAATGCAGATTCTGATTCAGTAGGTCTAGGGTGGGCCTGAGAATCCTACATTCCTATCAAATGCCCAGATGATAATAGTGCTGCTGGTCTGTGGACCAAATGTAATGGTGAGAGTTTGGGGCTGAGAAGAAGAGGACTCAAAATGTAGTTCGATGACCCGCACTGATGTACATATTAGAATATTAGAATTCTCAGACTTCTCTGACCTAGAGACCCCAAACCTGCATTTTAAGATCCCAGGTGATTGGTTCACTAATTAAAGTTTCAGAAACACTACTCTAGATGACCTTAGCCTTAGGTAGGATTCTAAGTAAACCATCTCAAGGTTCTGGCATCACAGATGTGAGATTAAGTAATGCAAAAACAAACAAATAAGTCTCTGTCTTTAGGAAGGAAAATTAGAAGAGATGAGACATTTGCTTTGTTTCTTATGCAATTGTTTAATTGAATCTCATTGGAATACATGCACACAAGAAATCCAAATGATGAAGAAATTTATAAAGTGAAAACTGAAAGTCTTACAGCACCAATTCTGGTCTCTGGGGCCATCACTATGAGGAATCCATGAACAGTTTAGTTCATGCCTTTTCAGACATTTTTCCTAGGATTAAACAATTATATTCATACACAGTATCCTTTATGATGAAAACTTCCGGTCTTTTTATCTGGTAACAAGGGAAAGAAACTTCAAATGTAAAAGTGTAAAGAGACTGAGAGTGAACTTGAGGGACAAGAGAATGGCCTTTAATCACCGTCCAATGTCCCCTCTCTCCCCTCGCAGATCTGATCGACCGAGCCTTCAGCAGATTCCGACACAAAGAGGTGGTCCATCTATCCAGACTGAAGAATGGGCTGAACGTGCTGGAGCTGTGGCATGGGGTCACCTACGCGTTTAAGGACCTGTCCCTGTGCTGTGCAACACAGTTCCTGCAGTACTTCCTGGAGAAGAGGAAGAAGCACATCACCGTGGTTGTAGGTGTGCATCATGGCCGTGTGCCCTGGAGCCCTACAGTGCCCCAGCTTGCCGGGGTCCACCCACAGGATGCCCTCCACTGATGTCTCTCGGGGAGTGTGTTATTGGTTCTTCCAGAGCAGGGTTCTTTTTCTTAAATTGAAGTATGGTTGATTTACAGTACTCTGTGTGTGTGTGTGTGTGTGTGTGTGTGTGTGTACAGCACAGTGGTTCAGTTATACATTAACTATCTATCTATCTATCTATCTATCTATCTATCTATCTGTCTATTCTTTTTCAGATTCTTTTCCCTTATAGGTTATTACAAAATACTGAGGACAGTTCCCTGGGCTCTACAGTAGGTCCTTGTTGGTTATCTATTTTATGTATAATAATGTGTATATGGTAATCCCAACCTCCTAATTTATAGAGCACGGTTCTTAAACTTTTCTTGTGCCACAGACCCTTTTGACAGTCTGGTGGAGGCTGTGGAACCTTCTTAGAATAATATTTTAAATACATAAAATACACAGAAGATATGGCGCCAAGCTCACAGATGCCCTGATTTCTATCCGTGGATCCCTTGGAGGTTCAAGGACCCCAGATTAAGTACTGGGTTCCTACCCTCCTGGATATTGCCTCACTTGGCGACAGTGCTTTAGGGGCCATTGCTTTCCTTCTCCATCTCCCTCGTCCTAAAGAGGAGGGTTCCTCCTTCTTCCCATCCAGGAACTTCTGGGGACACAGGGAGTGCTGCTATCGAGAGTGTTCAGGGGGCAGAGAACGTGGACATCATTGTTCTGCTGCCCAAAGGTCGCTGCACAAAGATTCAGGAGCTCCAGATGACGACAGTGCTGAGAGAGAATGTCCACGTGTTTGGAGGTGAGTGCTGGGACAGAGGCTCCGGGGACAGCATGGCTTTGCCTCGAGTGGTCTGTTTTGGGAGACTAGAAAACTAGTCAATTGACTAGCTGGCCATCCTTCCTCCTCTCCTTTCTCTCTCCTTCCCTTCCTTCATCAGTCATATTTAGAGGTTGGTGTATGCCTTGGCTTAGCTCTGAGCAGGCTCGTGGCTACACAGTTTCAGAAACTACTGGAGGTGACAGGTGCATAAGCCAATACTGACAGTACAACCGAGGAAGTGCAAGTTGAAAACCATACCCCATAGAATGCCACTTCCCTGCACGTTCACCCTGCTGGTGCCATATCTACAGGCAACTACCCAGAGTCATAGCCTGAGCCAACTGACTTGGGTTCTGTCCCAGGGCACTGAAGTTCAGATGGCAAAAACATGTTTAATAATTATTTTTAAGAGAATGTGTCGTTGCATGTTGGCAGCTCATGCCCTCCCTTGCAGTGTTGAATCAACTAAGCTATGCACTTGGTTAGCAGGTCTAAGTATTTAAAATAAGAAGCTACTCAGTGGGACCCATCGCTAGTGACCCCCCTTCCTGAGCCACATCACGAATCGTAGCGTTTGTGTTTGCAGAGAGGCAAAAAGCCATCTCCTTAATGTCTGGCCATCTGTTCTGAGTGCATTTAATCATTACGGAGTTCAAGAGTGTAGGAAGGCGGGATGGGTTTGAGTGGAGCCATACTTTTTATTTCTACCTCTGACACCCTACTACACCCCAGGTAGCCCCAAGGAAGGGGTTGGAATATGAGCAGTAGGGGTCTTGGTGAGGTTTTGTGCACTGTGGCCTTGGGCAAGCTGTCCAGGTGGCCTGGCTTGGTTTGGTCACTCACCTGGCAGGACAGCAAATGTGGTGGCAGAAAACCTTCCTTCTATAACTGGCCTGGCCTCCTGTTATAATCCCATAGATGATGTTTTTATATAACACCAATTTTGTCAAGGACCAAAAGAACATTGAGAACGAACCTTACCCATGGGAGTAGCATGAATATTCTTTGTCTATTTGTTCAAGAGCAAACAAAAAGCCCCTTCTACTCTTTTCTTTAGCAAGCACATACGCATTCCACTGAAAAGTTTATGGTTTAGCTGAGGCGGGTGTTGGCAAAAATCTTACACATTAGCCTTAGAAATGAATTACCCATATCTGGCTGCATTTTCCTGCAGTCATGGCAAGATTTTAATGTACAAGGTTCAGGTTCCTGAGTGTCCCTGTTTCACCCTAAGCACCAAAATTGCTATTTATGAATCTAGGACTGTCTTTACCTAGAATCAAAGCAGAGAAGAGCTTTTTGTACCTCTAATCTGCACCTACGCCCTTCTCTCCTTGTACACAGATGTTGGAAGACTTTGACCTAAGGGCATGTGTAGAAGCACCGTTCCTGACCACAGGCTGGAGAATGGTGCACATTTGAAAAATAGTGGCAGGGACTTCCCTGGTGGTCCAGTGGTTAAGACTCCGCGCTTGCAGCACAGGTGGCGTGGGTTCGACCCTGGCTGTGGAACTAAGATCCCGCATGCTGTGTGGCATGGCCAGAAAATTTTAAAAAGGAGAAAGAAAGAAAGAAAAGAAAAATAGTGGCAGACACGTGGATGGTGATGAACACAGTATGTCATCAATGTGCTATTGCCTGAGGCAAAGGGCATCTCTGTTTCATACGCGTTCTGCGCGTCAAGAAAATAAGGCAGGAGCCTTTAAAGGAATTAGTTTTTGTTCCTAAAACAGGACTGTTCAAACTCTTCCCTTCCTTTCTGGAATCTTCTGGTTTGGTTTCCAGGAGGACGTGTGTTAGTTCGGGAGCTAACGGTGGGCATGTGTTTTCTGTTGGGCTGGTGAGCTCAGGGAGTAGAGATGGGCCACCTGGATTGTTGTGTGTTGGACACTAATGTTTTCTAAAGTCATGCATTTCCATATACATTGTATACTTGGTTCTCCTTAAGCACAGGATAATCAGCAAGGGCTAGTTATATATTACTTGGGATGTTTTTGGTTGGAAGTAACAGAAAATCTAACTCAGACTGGCTTGAACAGGGATACTTTTCAGCTCATGTCCCTGGAAGTCTAGAGGTGGGATAGGCTCCCGACTGGCTGGTTCACTGGAGCCAGGTTCTCTGCTCCACCTTCCATTCAGCCTCATTCCTCTTGTGGTATATGATGGTTACTGAAGGTAACCAAGTCTCTCTTCCTGTGGCTCTCTCTTAAAAACAGTGAATCTTTTCCTAGCACCCCAGCAAATATCCCCCCCGTACATGGATCTGGAGTCAGTCCTGCAGCCTCATTACTGCTACACGATGAAGGGTGGAATGAATAGTAACCTCAGTGCCGGCCTTCCCTAGTGGCGCAGTGGTTAAGAATCCGCCTGCCGGTGCAGGGGACACGGGTTCGAGCCCTGGTCCCGGAAGATCCCACATGCCGTGGAGCAACTAAGCCCGTGCGCCACAACTACTGAGCCTGTGCTCTAGAGCCCGCGAGCCACAACTACTGAGCCCGCGTGCCACAAGCCCGAGCACCTAGAGCCCGTGCTCCGCAACAAGAGAAGCCACCGCGATGAGAAGCCCGCGCGCCGCAATGAAGAGTAGCCCCCGCTCGCCGCAACAAATAAAGCCTGCGCATCAACAAAGACCTGACTCCGCCATAAATAAATAAATAAACAAATTTATTTTAAAAAATAAATAAATAACCTCGGTGCCTACTCTGGCATTTCCCCTGATAATCTTCCCCCGCTGTCCTCCAAGCTTGGACCCAGTGGAGAAACAGACCCAGGTTTCAGATAAGAGAACAATATTGGCTTGATTGCTGGTTGGGCTGGGTTGAGGGATGCAACTTGGACTAGGGACCCACGTGGGAAGAGCGACTCTTTCCCTCCAGCCCCTGATGGAGGACGGTGAAGTAAAGCCCAGCCTCTCACCATCTCACAATCTGATAGACCATCCCCAGAGACTGGGGAAGAGGGCATGGAATACAAAGAGGAATTCTCCCCCTAATATCCCAGAAAGCTGACATTTTCTTTCGTTTTAGATAACGATAGAAACGTTGGAAATGTGACCCCAAGGATATGAGACATGGTTTGAGTGAAGGTCCCAGCAGGATGGTCTCAGCCTAGGAGTGCATGCTGACCTTCTGGGCACGCGCTGGCCCCCGGGGGGTTCTTCATGATAACTCCCTCTCCTCTCTCCTCTGGCAGCGGAGGGGAGCAGCGATGAGCTGGACGAGCCCATCAGGGCCGTGTTTGCCGACGTGGCCTTTGTCAAGGAGCACAGTCTGATGAGTCTGAGTTCCATCAACTGGTCCCGGGTCCTCGTGCAAATGGCCCACCACTTCTTCGCTTATTTCCGGTGTGCACCAACCTTAGACTTGCACCCACCGCCCCCCGTGGAGGTGGTTGTACCTTCGGGGGGTGCCGGTAGCCTCGCAGGTAAGGAGACCCCTGAGCGGAAATGGGCTTTCCAGAAAAACGCCTGTGGTCCCCGTCCTCCTAGCTGCACTTTGGTTGAGGATAAAGGTTGGGTCCTAAGTGATGGGAAATGACACACAAGAAGCTTCCAGAAAACTTGCCCCAACTCCCTGGGGGTGACATCCTGGCCTCTTGCCACAGGGGAAGGAGGATGGGTTAACCCCGAGGTGCTCCGGCTGCCTGATCTGATGTGTTTGCTCAGCACAACGTGGGGAGACCATGTCAAGGTTCAGCCGCTGGCCCGGCTGGCAGTGCCCTCTGCCAGGAGCGTGGACTTTCCTCCCAGCTCCAGCCAGCTGCCCTCTCTGAAGATAAGGGCTTGCCTGGCACGGCGTGTTTTCCCTGGAGACCGTGTGATGTGGAAAGAGTCCTGGACTTAGCCTTCTGTGCCAGTTCTGTCCTTTACTAGCTAAACGTCTTGTCTCTTAGATTCAGCTCCTCAGCTATCAAAGATTGGAACACTTATCATATCTCTCAGGATGACCACGGAGCAGAAATAAGATTCTTTATGCGTGTCTGTGGACTTTATGAGGGCCAAGAGCTATAGAGCTACGTGGCATTCAAATCATTTCCTATGATAATACTTAACGTTTATCAAGCACTGACTGTGCATCAGGTACTGCTCTAAATGCTTCTCTCGTATTAACTCCTTAAATCCTCACATGCGCCTATGAGGGGGACGACACTATTATTTCCATTTTATAACGAGGAAGCTGAGGCACAGAGAAGTTGGTCAGCCTGCCCCTGGTTACACAGCAGTCAGTCCCAGAGCCAGGATGGCAGCCCAGGCAGGCTGGCTCCAGAGCCTGAATCCTCACCAGCATGCAAGGCTGCCTCCTGATTGGCATGACTTTTTTTCTGATGGTTCTGTTAGTGGCATCGCTTCTGATGGGCGTCCAGGACAGCTTAGGTGAGACCATGAAAGCATCTTAGCGGTCAGGAGTCTTCCTGACTTCAGCTAACACAGGGATGGAAAGAACGGCAGGCTGGCTGTTAGACCAGGATGGCTCAGCCTTCTTCCCCATCCATGGCTGCCCATTTGCATCACCCTCCAGGGAGTGATGCCACCTGCGCACGTCCCAGTATCTGCCACAGTGCCTGGCACAAAAGCAGTGTTTGCAGAGGCGACTCCGATCTAGCCCTGCTCCATCAGGAACTAGCTGCTTGACCTTAAGCCCCTGGACCCCTTGAGCCTCCGTCGCTCCTCTGTCACACGAGGATATCATGATGTTTACTGAGGATCACGTGAAATAAGACTGTGAATGTGCTTTGCAAAATTAAGAGTGATGTTGGGTGGTGTGGTTATCCTTAACTCCTTTTACCTGCTCATCAGAGATAAGCCATTCATGGCGGTAGGAACCTTCCCCCAAACTACGTTGCCTTTCTGGGCTTTCCATCTTTCAGGGTGAGGAATTCCTTGTTTGTTCCATGCCAATAGACACCGCTATTGGGGTAGACTGAGGCTGCTGCTCTGTGCCCTCTCAGTCCCTTTCCAGGGGATGCAGTCTGAGGGCGCTGGTTCTAGGAGACTGAGTCAGGGGACTCAGCATGTGCTCTAGACTTAGACAGACCTAGTTCAAATCCTTAGTCTGCCACTTAGCAGGCTTTGGATGGGTCATTTCAACTTCTCAGAACCTCCGTTTTCTCTTCTGCAAATGGTGGCAAGCATGTGTCAGTACCTGCTTGGGGGAAGGGTTTGGCACGGGAACAGTGTCAGGGCACAGTCACCTTCTCCTACTCTTTCCTTCTTTTTTTTGTAACAGCTTCATTGCTCTATGATTCACGTATCGTACAATTCACCCACTTAAAGTATATAACTTAATAGTTTTTAGTATACACAGATTTGTGTGGCCATCACCAGTTTTAGAACATTTTCCTCACCCTAAAAGGAAGTCCTGTTCCTTTAGCAATCATTCCCCATTTCCCCTCATCCCTCCCAGCTTTAGGCAGCCACTAATCTATTTCGTCTCTATAGATTTTCCTATTCTGGACATTTTATATAAATAGAATCATCCAATATCTGACCTTCCTTCACTTAGTGTAATGTTTTCAAGGCTCATCTATGTTGTAGCATGTATCAGTACTTTATTCCTTTTTATGGCTGAATACTATTCTGTTGTATAGCTATACCACATTGTGTTTATGCATTTATCAGTTAATGCACATTTGGATTGTTTCCATCTTTTAGTCGTTATGAATAATGCTGCTATGAACATTTGTGCTTAGGACCTGCTTTCAGTTGAGTATATATAAACTAGGAGTGGATTTCTGAGTCATATTGGAACTCTGTGCTTAACTTTTTGAGAAACTGCTGGACTGTTTTCTGAAGTGGCTGCACCATTTTACATTCCAGCCAACAGTGTATGGGGGGGGGGTTCCAGTTTCTCCACATCCTGACCAAGACTTGTTATTATCTATCATTTTGATTCTAGCCATCCTAGTGGGTATGAAGTGGTATGTCATTGGGGTTTTGGTTTGTGTTTTCCTGATGACTAATGATGTTGCGTATCTTTTCATGTGTTCATTGGCTATTTGTATATCTTCTTTGGAGAAATATGTACTCAAGTCCTTTGCCTATTTTTTAATTGGGTTATTTTTATTGTTGGGTTGTAAGAAATCTTTATATATTCTGGCTTCAAGTCCTATATCAGATATATGATTTGCAAAGAGTTTTTCCTATTCTGTGGGTTGTCTTTTCATTTTCTTGATAGTCTCCTTTGAAGCACAAAAGTTTCCAAAAGCACAAAATCTTCTTAATTTTGATGAAGTCCAATTTATCTACTTTTTTTCTTTTGTTGTTTGTGCTTTTGGTGTTGTGTCTAAGAAACCATTGTTCTCCTCTCTTAAGCTGGGTTCATCGCTCAGAAAATGGGCCTGCCCATCCACCTGGTCGCGGCAGTGAACTACAATGACATCATCCACAGGACCATCCAGCGGGGAGACTTCTCTCTGTCTGAGGCCGTCAAACCAACCTTGGCATCAGCTATGGACATTCAGGTGGGGCCTGTGAGGCGATGTGCAGGTCTGACCCAGGTGTTGGTTGGGTGGAGGTGGACAAGGGCTGAGGTCAGCGTGACCCTCGGGACCCTGCCTTTCTGCCCAGGTGCCGTACAACATGGAGAGGATCTTCTGGCTGCTATCTGGCTCTGACAGCCAGGTGACAAGAGCCCTCATGGAGCAGTTTGAAAGGACCCGAAGTGTGAGTCTACCCAAGGAATTGCACAGCAAGGTCAGTTACCACCCATACACCATGGAGAAGGGGATGCTTGTTTCTTGAGTACCTACGATGAGCCTGGCACATCTGCAGTCACGTCATGTGGATTTCTTTGTTGAATGAGGAGAGGCAGTAGAGGTTATTGGTTTAGAGTCAGGTGGGGCTTAACTCCAAGCCAGCTGTGAGACCTTGGACCAGTTTCTTAAATTCCGTGCTTCAATTTCCTCATCTATAAAATGGGGATAAAGAGAATGCCTGCCTCATAGCATTGTTGAATTTTAAGTCAAATAATACCCATGAAGAACTTTGTATACTGCCTGGCAATATAGGGCTTAATATATTAACTGTTGTTTTTATTTATTATTGTTGATTTCCAATAATAACTGGAAGCCACTTTTCCCATCCAGTATGAGCAGAGACTATTGCTCTATTAGCTTTTTTTAAAAAAAAAAAAAAAGAAAGAAGGAGAAATTTTATCTCCTCAGATGGGTAGGAGCCTAGGGAGGGATTGCTTTTATTTTAAGGTAACCTGGCGATGAAAACTTATTTAATATAAAAAAAGAATTTCATATGTTGAATTTGCTTTTAATTTTCTCTGCCACATTCCCACCAAATCGTCATCCAGACTGTGTATATCTCCAGTGCCTAGGACCTCACTACCTCACATCAGCTCTAATCATTATGAAGTTCTTTATATCAAGCTAGAACCTGTTACTTCTTAGCTTGTGCACTGGTGAGCCATCTGATTCCCATACTTGAAGAGAATCTTCGTTTACCTGCTAAGCCCTCCTTTAGCTGTCCCTTACATGACGTAATTTTCAGTGGTCAATGCCCATCTTAAAGGGTTGTCTCCAGAACTAGATACACCCACACAGACTGGAGTGGAATTTCTGTCTTCTGGAATCTATGCTTCTTTTGATGCAACCTGTCTTAATTAGTTTGGACTGCTATAACAAAGTACCGCAGACTAGTGGTTTAGAAACAACACAAATGTACTTCTCACAGTTCTGGAGACTGGAGGACTGAGGTCAGGGTGCCGTGGTTGAGTTCTGGTGAGGGTCCTCTTCTGGGTTGCAGTTGGCTGCCTTCTCATATGTGGAAGGAGATTTAGCTAGCCCTCTGACCTCTTCTTATAAAGACGCTAATCCCATTCATGAGGGCTCCACCCTCATGACCTAATTACCTCCCAAAGGCCCCACCTCCAAATACCATCATATTGGGATTAGGGCTTCAACATATAAACTTGGGAGGTACACAAACATTCAGACCATAACACAACCAAAGTTCAACTTATTTAATGGTTTGTATTGACACCCACAATCCTTCTCCTCATGTAAATGAGATGCTCCATGAAGACAGACACCATATCCCCCAATTCTTCATTCTCTCCCCCGCTGTACACGTAGAAGATATTCCAACTGCTGGAACAGCATTCATTCATTCATTCATTCACTCATTCATATTACATATTGACCATGAGTCAGGAGCTATGCTTGGTGCTGGAGATACAAAGATAAATAAAACACATGCATTGTCTTCTGTGAACCCTAATGGGTCAGGAAGGTATCTAAACAATTTATAATACCCTCTGGTCTCTATTGGTTGCAGTTGAGTATATGCAGGGTTTTTGGCACATTGTAAGCATGCAGTGAATTTTCAGAGAATGATCAAATAAACCATCTACACCAAGGGAGCACTGAGAAGGAAGCCTTCCTCTGTCTAAAGGTAGTGGGGAGTTTTCCTAAAGGAGGTGCCACAAGAGCTGGGTGGGAACTGACAGGAAGCTATTCTCACATCCACAGGAAGGGGGCGTGCCAACAACAAAGCAGCAGGAATGCTTGAGTGCCCTTACCCTGTGTTCTGTCCCGTTGTTGAACAAGACTACATACACTAATTTGCTGATTCATGAGCCAAATTCTAACTAAATGTGTTGACCTGAAACTCAAAGGTATCCTTCCCCTAACTTGAGTGAATCCAGTTAAAACTGGGAAACGTGGGAAACCAGATTTTTCTCTGAGCTGAATCTGAGCCATTCAATCTGAACGTTTCATTCGAGTTTCTGGTGCATATCTAGCTATGTTACGTGGCAGGAATTTTCTCCCCTTTTCCCCCACTTCCCCTCAGCCCTGATTCCCACCCCTCTGACCCTGAAACCTGTCAGCTTTCAGAGGCAGTAATTTCTCAGTCAGTGTCAGACGAGGCCATCACCCAGACCATGGGCCGCTGCTGGGAAGAGAACCAGTACTTGCTGTGCCCTCACTCGGCCGTGGCTGTGAGCTACCATTACCAGCAGGTGGACAGGAGGCAGCCCAGGTACAGGTGGTGGGTGCCTGTGTGTCGGGGGGACCCTTGGCTTTCAGGGGCCCTCCTCTTCCCCAAGCAGGGGAGAGAGGAATGTGAACAAATGGACTTTTTTTTTTTTTTGGCTGCCCCTTGCTGCACGCGGGATCTTAGTTCCCTGACCAGGGATGGAACCCATGCCCCCCTGCAGTGGAAGCACAGAGTCTTAACCACTGGACCGCCAGGGAAGTCCCACAGATGGCTTTTATGAGCATGATGGGTGCTGCGTGGAACTGTGTCTTGAGACTGTGATCCTGGAAGGGGGAGCTGGGCCTCCAACAAGGAGGAGCAATTTGCTTGCAGAGATAAGTTCAAGGGACCAAACATGTCTTTTTCTCTCTCTCTTTCTCTGCACCCTACCTCTCCCCTTCCCCTGTTCCTTCTTCTCCCTCCTGGCCTTCGTTCTGTACCTGTCCCTCTGTCTTCTGTCTTCCGCCCCCTGTTCCCACCTGCCCTGCCTCCGCAGCCCTCCCCGCTGTTGTCTGGCTCCCGCCTCCGCAGCCAAGTTCCCGGAGGCCGTGCTGGCTGCTGGGCTGACCCCGGAGACTCCTGCGGAGATCCTCGCCCTGGAGCACAAGGAGGCGCGCTGTACCCCGATGCGGAAGGGTGACGACTGGACACGGATGCTTCGGGGCCTGATTGAGGACCTGAGCCGGCAGCGGCAGGGGCGCTTCCGGAACGCGCCGGCATAGCCAGGCTGGAGCTGGCTTCCTTTAGGCTTCGGACCCTGGGAGGTGTCCCCTCTGAGCTGCCTGGTGCACCTTCTCTCCATGCTTCGGACCCTGGGAGGTGTCCCCTCTGAGCTGCCTTGTGCACTTTCTCCCCATGCAGGTGCAGGAGTTTCTCAGGGGGCTGCCCAGCTGGGTCTGGAGCCAGCGGGCTGTGCGCTGTTCCCTGGCTGCTCTGTGCTCTCACCGTGGCTGGCTGGCCGTGTTGGGCCTGGTCACCGGGGAGGCGGGGAGGGAGTCGTGGATGATTGCTGGGGGTGCACCCCCAGGGCCAGACAGTGCAGGAACATCACTGCTTCCTGTGAAACTTTCAGGGCCTGCAAATGAAAGGTCTGGGGCTCAGGGGCAACCTTGGCTCCAAGATTTTGGACCCCCAGATCCTAAAACCTGTGCAGGTGGGGCCCGCTGCCTCCATTACCACAGGTCTGGCTCTGAGCCTTAGTTTATCTGGTCCCCAGGTCAGATCCAGAGGTCTTGGCCACAGGGCTTCCACCCTGTCAAACGTTGGGAATCCCTGGAATAAAAGTGCAGGTTCAGTGCGATGGTGACTCTGCGTGCCCTGTGGGCAGAGCCCAGTGCCTCTCAGGTGGTGATGGTGGTGCCATGGTGTCCCTCATCCATCTGCTGCCCCAGGTTGCCAGCAGGGCAGGTGGCACAGGAGTTGAGGTTCAGGATCACCAGATCCAGGCCATGTAGGAAAGCAGGGGCCTCAAACTAGGTCAAGTTGCCCTGTTGCTCATGTACCAGGTTCACCATCCTTATTAAACGAAGTCATGATCATAGCAGCGAGAAGCAATGGTCCCTCTTTAAACACTAAATAAAGTCCAAATGCCTACATTTCCACAGGTACCTCCATAATCACGCTGCTTCAGAGAAGTCAAGTTGTTCTTTCCACTGAAGACACGACTGACGCTCTCCCCTCTCCATGCCTTTGACCCTACACTTGCCTCTGGGAGACTGTCCTTCTTTGATGAACCCACAAGTCCCATCTCACAGGCTATTTGTCTTGGTTCCTGGTACTTGATTACTGTGTCTTGTTTACTCGTCAGCGCAGCTGGAAATAAGGACTCCTGTTTCCTAACTCTGGCAGAACTCCAACTGTAGCTTTCTTAAGCTGTGTATTCCCTTCTGCCCTGTTTTATGGTTATCCACTTGAGACATTATCTTCCTGTCTCTAAGCTCCTTGAAGGTAGGAACAATTGTTTAACGCAAGGGCTAAAACTTTTTGGATTTGCCCCTATTGATTAAAAATCTTTTAATATGTTCTCCCAACATATGTGTACTAAATTATTTATAAACTACACAAACCGTGTGCTAAAATAGACATGAAGGAATAATAACAACACCTATATTTATCTTTTCTCCCCATTCTCCAATGGATTGCCTGTGGGCCTGTCTTTGGCAGTCCTGGTTGAACACAGCGCCTGTTACATTCCAGAACCAGCAGGAACCAGGGGCATAGCTCCCCTGTGATTGCACATCTGCCAGATACTGTGCGATGACTCTCAAAGTGTGGTCCCTGGGTTTATCCAAAATACACTCTCCTGGCCCCTACCCCAGACCTTCAAAGGCAAATCTGTGGGCGTGCGTGCGCCATCTTCAGTCCTTACAAATGCCCCAAGTAAGTTTCGACCCTCTCACTCGGGAAACCTTGGCCAGAGGCTTTAAGTGTATAAATAATTCTCTTCCACAGGGAGATAGGCTTTTTCACAAGGGCATGCTTTCTTCCTGCTACTGTTTTCATGATCTAGCCTGCACTGTCCAATTCAGGAGCCACTAACCATATGTGACTGTGGAGCCCTTGCAATGTGAATAGTCTGACTGAGGAACTGAATTTTAAATTTTATTTAAGTTTAACTTACATTTAAATTTCAAAACTGTTACTTGATTCAGTCATTGGAAAGCTTTTAGGTATGATTGGAAAAATGCAGATATGTGAATCTGCTTTTTCAGCTGTGAAATTTATGATGTACATAAAATACAGATAAGTATTTCCAATGTTCTGATTGACATGTGTCACAAATGTAAACTGCATATTGGATTTCAAAGGCTTCCAATGAAAAAAATCTAAACTATCTCATTAATAATTTTATACAGATGACCTGTTGAAAGGATGATATTTTGATGTATTGAGTTAAATAAAACACGTTATCAAAATTAATTCCGTCTTTTTCCTTTTCCTTTTCCAGGGACATTTAAAGTTATGTATGTGGTTCGCCTTTGTGTCACATTGTATTTCTACGGACAGCAGTGATCTAGGCTTTGGGTACACATGAACACATGTCAGATAGTTGTGGATTTAGTTATATTACTGGGTTCAAATCTCATGTAGATTGAGGGAGGGGGTTAGACAAACACAAACGTGTGTACGTCAACACAAGCCTGAGGCTCTGGTCTCGGGGGGGGGGGGGGCGGGGGGGGGGCCCTCTGGAAGGCAGTTAAGGCAGGCACAGCGTGGAGGTATTTTTGGCCACTAGAGGGCGCTGTTACTACCACTCTGAGGGCCGCTGTGAAAGGAGCCAGTGGGCATCTGGCCTGCAAAGCTGCCTTTCCCGGCCCCCGAAGTCTAAAGGAGCTTCTGGGCCACCCAGATTGATCTCTGCCTGCTACCTCCACATCAGAACCACTAGCTCCGCATCTACTTGGTGCCCAGGGGCTGAAAGGAGAGGCCGGAGGGCATCCTCTTACTGGAAAACTTGACATCGAAGCATGGCATTCAGCACGTAGAGAGAGGGCAGGAATGCTGGACGCACAGGAGGATGGGCGAGATGACCGTGACCCTTACAGCCATCAGCACCTGACAGCTTCCGAGACACTTTAATATCCACAAGAGCGTACCTGATGGAGCCCCCAGGACCCATTTATCTATTAGGCAAGACCAGGCTGATACTTCGGGGTCATGAGATATTTAGAGGCCCATGAAAATATTTTTATTTCTATTAAAAGAAACAGTGAATATAATCCGGCTTGGATTATATTCATCTTTACACCAACAGAGTAGTAAAAAAGAAATTTAAATATTTTTTGTAGAAGAACCCCTTGAAAGCAAAAGTGCCTGGAGCCCACAAAAGTCATAATGCGGCCCTCATAGGACCTGCTCTACGCCAGGTAATACTTCACCAGAATCAACTAATTTAATGCTGGCAAGCAAGCTGTGAAATACGTGTTACTACCATCTATGTTTTAGAGATGAGGTAACCTGTCAGGGTGGTACCACAAGGGAGCAGAGGGGCTGGGACTTGAACCCAGGCATGTGGCTTCAAGTTTGACGTGTATTTTCATCTTATCATGTTGCATGGAGCTGGTCCATTCTGCTGTGGCCCGCCACTCTCCATCCTGCCCCAGGCCGTGGCCCTTCCGCGGGATCCTCTTCCACCCTCCCTTTCATGGGTGGATTTGGGAGCGTGGCCATGATGCTCCAGGAGGTCCACCAGGGGCTGCTGCAAACCTGCTTCCCAGGTCTCTGCACGGGCCCTGGCACCCACCTGCTGCATGCGGCCAGAGCCAGTGGTTCCTTATTCTTTGCTGCCGCATTTCTGAGGTTCTCAGGGCAGTGCTGGGAGTTACAGGGGGTCACAAAACCCTTCACCTTCTAGAGGCTTCGGAGTGATATCCAACTCTGAGAGCCCACTGCACCTGTGAGAGGAGACCCAGAATAAAGCCATTGGACACAGCACAAACAGACATGAAACATGAACTACAAGATATTCTGGCCACAGGGAACCTTAGGGCTGAATGGAGGAGAGGACAGGAGTGAGATGAAGTCTGAAGAAACATCCACCCCTGTGAACATATACACAGGCACACAAACACAGACAGACAGACACACACACACATACAAATACATACCTACATACACACTCATCCCCCTCAATGGAAAAAGCAAGGATCCTGGTACCAATTGAAATTAGAATCAGGTTGAAGTTGTCCTTCTGAGTCGTCCGCTAATTGGCGGTGTGACCACACACAAGCCATTTCATCTCTGTGAGCCTCAGTTTCCTCACCTGCTAATTGTAACACTTACCTCGCTAGTTTATTTTGAGGATTGAGATCGTGTATTTCCAATTCCCAGGTAAATGCTAAAATGCCATACAAGTGCTTCTTTCTAACATAATTTAGTCTGCAGTGAACAGTTTAGTACTTTTAAGCTATGTTGTGTTTTTTACTAATTGCTTCCCGGATTCGTCTTCTCTTGCCTCTTCCTGAAGGATGAAGTTCCTTCGTGGCCCTGCGGTGCTGGGACAGCTCTGGGTGCAGGGTTGGAGTTGCCCTGGCCTGCTCAGTGCACCCAGCGACAAGCCCTGTAGGGGTCATTTGGGGATTGAATGTCATGGATTAATCAATAGGGGCTCTGCTGGGCAGTTAACAAGCCTCATTAATTTGCAGTGATGAGGATGGTGGGATGATTCCCTTTCCTGAGCACTCATGATGGGCTGAGCCCTTTGTAAAGCACGTTGCAGACATTGGCTCCTTCAGTCCTCACAAGGACTGTATGAGAAAGTACCATTAGGGGCTCCATTCTAGAGATGAGGAAATGAAGCTCAGAGAGGTTAAGTAATTTTCCCAAGACCACCCAGCCAGTGAGTCCTGGAGGAAGGATGTGAGGCTGAGTTAACCTCAGAGCTAGACTAGGAGAGGAACTTTGGGCCCGATGGCTTCCAAGTTTTCTTCAATCAGAGTCTGTGAGCTCGATGGGGAGAGGGCTGCGTCTGAGGGTGGAGGAGAAGAGAAGAGGACCCGTCACTAGGAGACGGGCCATCTGGGGAGAGGGGCACAGAGCCAGTGCCTTTGCAGGGAGCTCTCCTCTGGCTCAGGCTCCCTCTTGGAGCTGGGTTCCTCGCGGGGATGCTGGTGTCTGCTGAGTGGATTGGGTATGGTTACGGGACAAGAGGGAGGTGAGAGTAATTCTGTGGGATTGTCAGCTGCTGGCAGGGAGGCCCAGCCTGGTGGTTCCCACTGGAAAGACTCAAACTTAGATGGATGAAGTCGGGGAGCCTTTGTTGGGTTTTCCGTGTCCCCAAATAAATAACGGGTGAGCAACACAGGAAGGGCTGGGCTCTTAGCCTCCTGGAAAGAGGAGAGGGCCAACTTCTCTGTCCTGCTCACTGCCTCTGTCCAAAAAAGCATCTCCCCAGAACTCCCTTTCAGGCCCAACCCATCAGTTTATCCATTCCACAACCTGGGCATCTCCCAGGTGCCAGCTGGGCAAATGCTGAAGGCCACTGTGCTGACTGCCTACCAAGTGCTGGGGAGAGAGAAAAAGTAGGAAAAGATGGGGCTGGGGTTGACTTATGCAGAAGGATAAAAGTTTGTGGCAGCACCCAGGGGCTGTCCCAAGGCTGTGAGGGACTGGTTACTGGCTCTCCAGGGCAGGAGCCCAGGCAGTCCCCCTGCGGCCCCCTCCCACACTGACCCTCAGTGTTGCAGTGATTGGTTTAGAGCCTGCTCCCCCGCTACTTAAACAGTCCTTAAAGGCTGCTGTCAAATACCCCATAAGCCAGGACCTGGCGTCCACACCTAGCCTTCACTGAGCATGGAACAGAACAGGTGGGAGGAACTGCAGGGCCCAGAGGAGGAAAGGTGACTGGGCAGGAGAGGGTGGGGCTGGAGTGAAGAAGGCTGGGCTGGGTCTCCAAGGGTCTGCTAGGTACCAAGGGGATGCTCCTCGGTTCAGGACTGTTCCCTTCTCTTCTTCAATGGTTTAGCCATCACAAAGATCTATTATAAGAAGGCAAGGGACCTCCTGTTGCAGCAGAAGTGTCTGTGCACTTGCTCCTTGGGGAGAGGACCTTCTTTTCTCTGAATGAATGCGCAGGTCTTAAGTCACCAAGGCCAAGGTCCTGTAACAGGTGCAGAGCCAAGAACTGAGGCAGGGCTCTGCATGGGTTAGGCCAGGGTGAAGCCCCTGGAGCCTCCCCTTGGTTTGGCTGCTAGGGGGACCTACTGAG